ACATGTCACAGCAATGAGTGCAGTACCAGAACCAGAAACAAACTACCCTTACGCACCTGAAACTCTGTGAGTTGCTGCATTAGTTCTTCTTGCTCTTTACTGTTGGTCAGTGGAGGGAGGATGTTGAGGAAGACTTTTAAGAGATCCAGGTTCTCCCCAGAAACGCTGGACAGTGTGAAGATTGGGGTGATGCTGTCAGACACAAATAGACAGGAATAAGCAGAAGGCCAGTGTGCAGCTGCAGAAGGTGGCTGCGACTCTGACTACTGAGTGCAGCAAGAGGACAGAGACTGCAGTGATAAATGGCCAGAGCAGGAAAACACATGGGCTAGGTACAACTCTGCAGCAACCCCTGCCTCACTGGTTCGTCGAGGCACCAATCCCCTGCCAACCCACACTTCTGTCATGGAGAAGTAAATCCAGTGCGGCCTCGGGCACCTTCTGCTCCCAAAGCCCAGAAAAAGGCCTGTGAAGGGAAAATGCCTTCTTGGAGAATGCAAAGGTAGGAAACTTGATGAGAAGCCAAGATGTTTAAGATGTGGTTGCCTCCCCCACGGTCACCCTTCCCGAGCTCCACACAGCAGCCCAGTCCAAATTGCCTGCTCCGGGCAGAAGAAACGAATGGTCCCTTACTTAGGAGACTGTGCAAACTGCTGTGCTGCTGTAACGGCATCGTCATCCGAGTTCACAAGCAGGGGGAGCTTGTTGCAGCCTGGCTGCTTCAGGATTCGCTCCAGCTGCTTCACTGTCCGTTCCACGGTGGCTTTCGAACACAAGTCAACTTTGCTGATGACAATGAAGAAGGGGACCTTGAGGGCCATGGCCAAGCCCAAGTGCTCTCGCGTTGTGCCAGCTGCAGGAGACAAGTGAGAGCGTAGGTGCAGTAGCAGTCACCACTGTTGCTTGCTTATGGGACAGCTATGTTCCTTGGCTCTCCCACGGGCCCATTCTAGAGATTTCACCCTAACTGCTTAGTTCATCAGGGAATGAAAAAGCAAAATTATTCTTTTAAACAAAACCAAACATCAGTCCAGAAACAAAAAAAACATCAAGAATTTTTGTGACTGATCGGCTTGCTTCAAAAAGATGCAGTAGTTTTCATTCTTAGGCTAGAGGTTGCCCGAAAACAGCCACAAAAATGTCAAGGAAAGATGTGGGAGAACTCCAGCTGCCTTTTTACAAGTTTTCAGAATTCAGCACCCCCAAGAATATGTCAAAGTGTTTGTTGTTTTTTTTTTTTCTGACAAACACCGTCTCAAATTCCAAACAAAGCTTCTCTGTCCCGGGCACAGTTTAATGTGGTCTACAGCTGGTAAGAGGATCCAGGCTCTGCTCCCCTCCCAGGCACTGGCTTACAAGAAATCAGTAGAGGCTTCCAGTCCAGTATTTCTTTCTGACAACTGTTCCCAGCTAACAAGGACCCCACTCCTCCCATTTCTCATTTCTCTTCACACATTGCTGCCAATCCATGCAGGCCGGGCAACACTCACCAATGCCAGTGTTGGCACTAACCACCAGCATAGCAAAGTCCGGGCAGTAGCTGGTGAGGCCAAAGATGGTTGTTTTCAGATACTTGTGGTGGCCAGCCAGGTCAATGAAAGTGATCATTTTGGAAGAACTCTCACAGATCTCTTCTGCTGTTCGAGAGTCACTGTAATTTACCACCTGAGGAACATAAGGACTCAGTGAGAAAAGAAGCCCCAGCAGGCAAGTGAAGAAAACCCAGCTCTTAACTATCCACTTTGACCTCAGAATTGGTGAGATTGTTCCCCATGGGCGCAAGAAACCATGTCTGTTGTGAATGGACAAGTAACAGGTTCAGCTAAAGAGACACAGAGCTGTGCCACCTCTCTTCCCTCATGTCTCACTCACAGTTGTAACAGGAGGGTAGTCCTATTCTCCTCCAGCTTTCTAAGTTCAGCAGCCCACTTCCTCACCTCTCCTTTGCTGTTGAAGCCGAGGATCTCAAAGCTGATGCTTGACGTTCTTCCTGACTGGATTTCATGGAGATGCCGGAAGAGGTTGAGGCGTGCTCTGCCCCGCCCGTTGTCCAGCTCTCCTTGCGTTAGGACACCCAACAGCGTTGACTTCCCTGAGTCCACGTTCCCCAGCACAGCTACTCGCAAGTCTAAGAACTACAGGAAGAAGAACAGAGCAATCATGAAACTTAACCGCTGCTTTGCTGCGTGTGCGTGAACACAACACAGCAGTGGAGATGTGCCTCAGAGAGCTTCCCTCCACGATGGACACTGTACAGTGTAATCTTGCTCAGATTCTGCTCTTGCTCCCAGCAAACCATTGCCCAGGAGTTGTGACATACTCTCTAGAGTTGTAATGTGACACATCAGGCTTTGGTATCACAAAAAAAGGTCATTTGCTGCAGCAGGAACTCTAAATCCTTCCTTGTTTGCACACTGGCCTGCATCAGAACTGTTGCCATAGAAGTGAAATAAACTCTCACCTCTGATCCAGGCGATCTCCACTACTGCTATCTGCCTCAACCACAATCTTGGAGATCAAAAGCATTATCATCAAGCCTCCCTCTGGCAGCTCTTTAAAGCATCTGCTGTGGGCCAACCTATGACAAAACGCCTCTAGGGTCCGGGCTCCCACACCAAAAGGAAGCTGCTTGCATGAAGCCTCTAAGTCTCCAGCAGGAAAGGACAGCCAAGTTGCAGATCCCTACCTGCTGGTTGTCAGGCACCTTTCGGACAAGCACCTCCGTTATCTTCCTTGGAACGTCACTATCGTAATCGACCTCCCTCTCCCGCAGCACCGTAATGTCAGCTCCAACCCTGCCACAAACACAGAAGGAAGGAGTGAGACACACACTTGTACTCAGCAGCTCTTGGACCTCTAGAATCACAGCTGGTAAAGTGAATGGGATGAAAGCTGGGGATAGCAGGGAAGGAGCCTCAAGCTTCCATCCAAAAGCCCTGTAACTGCCTTCCCATTTCCAGAGCCTCACGATGAGGGAATTCCGGTCATACAGGGGCTTTGTAGAATGGAGTCACTGGTTCCTCAGGGCACTCCTGGGGCCAAGCCTCTCTACTGGAGGCTGTTTAAGCCTACACATCCTGAAAATGAAAAGGAACACGTACTTCTCTGCCATACGGCGCAGTGTCTTGAGCGAGGCACGCATCTCCTCTTCTGAGAGGCCCACCAGCAGCCCGTTGTCCTCCACGCCGATCTGATAGACAGCCTCACCTCGGCCTTCCTGTAGTCGCCACTTCATCTGTGTCACCAGGTGCTCAAAGCGATATTGTGAGGGATTCACTAGCTTTAGCTGTTTAACGGAGTGGGTAGTTATAGCCACAGCCTGGAGGCAGAGGGAAACCCATCTCCCAAGCCAGCAACTCCCTAACCCAACACCATGAAGCAATGCCCTCAACTCTGACCCGCCTCTGGAAAACACAGTTCATGTTAGTGTCTACCCAGAAGCCACAGGACAGGTGAGAATGAGTTTCACAAAGGTGCATACATATGGTAGCAGAACCTTCCTGCATCTTGCCAAAGGGATCTGTACCCTGCCTGCTGTGGGGGTAGAGACAGCAATGTGGGACCTATCTGTGACGGTGCAAATGGCAGAACAGCCACAAGAAAGTGACAAATGGTTATCAGGGACACCTGCAGCTTTCTCTCAAAAGGAAGAGGATTTCAGGGGAAAAAAAACAGTGAGTCTCATCTCCTAAAACAGATTCCTAAAAACAAGTACTGAGATCAAACTCTTCCAGGTCAGCATATAGGGTATTGCTAGGCACAGGCACACAGATGACTGATAGTTCCTTGGTATAGTGTTTGTTTTTCTGTCCCTCCCCTGCACATGTTCCCCATATGCTGTCTTTGGTGAAGTTACTCACTGCAAAATAACCCTCCGGGAGGAAGACCTCCTTCCGCAACCTCGAAAGGCTCACCTTGTACTCAATGTTCCCATCTTCTGCCTGGTCAGAGAACGAAACAAGACAGAAAGGTTAGATGCTGTGCCAGCAGGGACTTCTATAGGCATCAGCTGCCCAGATACTCTGCAGCTTGTGCTGACCATTTCAAAGAGGGAAAATGGCAGAAATACACTGTGTTAGGTCACAGCCTCTTCTGCCATTCATTCCTACACACAACTGGAACTTACTTTAGGTTTGTTTCTGCTGTTTGCATTCCACATGATGAAAACCAGAGGACAAAACTAGAGAGTGACATAGGGGGTAATACTGCTTTTGGGAGATTTTTTTACTGCCAGTAAAGAATGGGGCCAGTCTAACAGTCACAGAGAGAGTTCCAGTTTCAAAAAGGCACAGGCCAGCAGATGATTAAAAGTCTCCCCCGTCACCCATCCATGACCCACAATGCCACCCCACAGCATCCCACTCCCACCCTATTCAGCAGCTTCCATCCACCCAATGTGCACAGAAACAGGGGACTGGGAATAAACTTTACTGCCTTCTCTCCTGCACACTGATACTCTCCCTCACTCAATTGTTTTTTCATTTGATTCTTTTACATATCCTTGCACATCTTCTCTCTGCAAGAGAGAAGGACAACAGATATAGGAAGCAAGCTTCTGACTTCTTTGCAGCACAGCAAGCTGGTCACTGGCCTGGCAGTTCTGGAGAGCCAGACCTGATCGGGACTGTCTGTACACAACGTGCTCAGAATAACTTTCCCAGAAAGGACTGGAGCCAGACTGGGTTATCACAGAAAGGCCTGGGTACGCATCAAGCTCACTCCAACTACAACAGGCTCCAACTTTCCAAAGAGAACGTATAGCCAATTGAAGTAATTTTCCCACTGATTCGGTCTAAGGACCACTGAGAAAGGCCTGGAGCCTGCAGGAAGCCAAGTAACCTCCTAGACTAAATGGGGCTGCCAACACCAAGCACTTGCCTTTCCACTGGATACCGATTTGCGTGTCAGGAGAGGCAACAGTCCTCTCCTTGCCTTCTAGCTCTGCTCCTAATCACAGCGGTGCTTATGGTGGCAAAAGGCCAACATAGGGAAGTTTTGAATTGTCAGCTCAGCTTTTGGGCAGTGGAGCTACGCAGTGACAAACAGATACTTGCAGAAGGTTTTCCTCTCTTATCATCTACCAGCTTTCCAGCTCTAAGAAAAACATATTCACATACTGTGCTGTCGTCTAAATAAGAGGGTGGGTCTCCTTCAAGCCAGATGACACCAGAAAAGCAACAAGCCCAGACTTGCTGGGCCACATACTGCACAGGGTAGCCAGGGACAGGAAGCTGTGCTGAAACCACAGGAGGCTGTCCAGCCTCCACAGCTGAAAGAAATAAAAACTAAACCGCAGCTGCAGGGGACAATCCTGCCCATGGAGAAGATCTAACAGTGTCAAAGTGCTGTTTCCCCTTCTTGCCAAGAGTCACAGCCTTGCCTTGTGGAGGAACTACTCCCTCTCAGCGCAGGCTCTTATGTATTTTAAAGAAAGCTCACTGAGTGGGGCCAAGCAACCAACTCTGGGGCAACGTAATGCTCCCCACATCGTCAGTCCTATTAGAGCTGTGCCAACTGCCTGAACTAAACAATACACCCACTTACTACCGATGCCATTTTTTTCTGCTACAAGAGGCAAGTGCCTTACACACTGTCAGTACCGTCTGCATCTCCATGTAAGAAAACATTTGCCAGATTAGCTGGGAAGGGAGTCACTAGAACCCGCTGAGCAATTTCTATGAGTTTGGCAGCTGGAAAGGGACTTACACCCACCAGATCGACTCTCAAGGAGAGATGCAAACAGGATGCTCGGGACTACGAGTTAAGCAAAGCTTTATTTCCGAAGCTATTTAGCTCCCAGGCAGCAAAGCACCCACGGACGGACGCCAGACAGCGAGATACCGCTGACGGACGGGCTCTGGTGGAGCAGGCAGGGAGCTCGCTGGTACCGCGGGCACAAGAGACCGGAGCACGGGCCAGGGAGGCACACCGCTCTCGGGGCCGGGGCTGCACGACCGCCCGCAAGGCTGCTGGCCCGACCCCGGCCCGA